GACCTTCTCTGCTCTTTCAGTTAATGACAATTATAAATGTTTGAGAGACACAGTACCAAGGCAAGAGGCTTCAGCTAATTGGGCACCGTGATTAAATGCGGGGAGAATTTGCCCTCCCCATTCTTGCATACAGCTGTGCATATTTCAATTCTAGAAATAAGAAATCGGAGAAAGAAAGGTTGGAGACCAAGTGGCATTTTCAAAGAAAAAAATTATAGATCTTGGGCAATATACACACACATACATACACATATATGTATGTAAATATGTGTGTGTGTGTGTGTGTGTGTCTGTGTCTGTGTCTGTGTGAGCTTGCTTGCATGTTGCTGGACTTTTGAACTCTCTTGGTGGATGGATTTGCTTCAGGCGGGAGTGTCAAGAAGCTCAGGTGTGGAGGCGGGGAGGGTGGAGTGCACAGCTGCAGTGCAGAGAGGGCCAGACAGCTTGCAAGAATGAGTGGAGACTCAGGGGACTCTCGCATAGAGAACACTTCAGAGGGCATTCAGAGACTGGACAGACACGCGAGGCTTCCTGGGAGTCACCACAGTGAGCATCAAAAAATGACTGCAGGACATCCTTACCTGCATAAAGGTCTGCAGTGCAGTACAGACTCAGCGTCTGGAGCACGTGTTCAACATAAACACACAAGCAAACTAACTAATTAGTGTGTTTAGCGTGTGTTTGTGCGCATATGTATCCTATCAGTCATAGATTAACAAAATTGGTATGTGTTTGTTAAATCTATGCTGATTTTAATTGTAATAAAATCAAACAAGGGAAGAAGGGATGGGTCTCAGGTTCACAACTGCCATCTGCTGTAAACTTGTCCACATTGCTATGAGAAGTGAGGCCCTGGTTTGAATCTGAAATGTCCCCCACAGGCATATGATCTGTTTGCTCCCTGGCAGGTGCTTCAGTTTCTGTAGGCTATGGAATCTTTAGGAGTCAGAGCTTAGCAAGCTTGTGGGAATATGTCAGCAAGGGGAGGGCCTTTGAAGGTTATAACCAGCCTCCTGGTTCCAGCTACAGTATACTCTGGCCCACTATGACTCAATGAGCCTCCTACATATATTCTTGCCATGAACTCTGCTGTGCCTTCCTAACATGATGGACTAAGACCCTCTGAAACTGTGAGCCAAAATACATCATCTCTTCTTGTAGTAGGAGACCGCTTGTTTGTTCCTGGCTGCTCTGCCCCAAAATAACCACACAGAAACTGTATAAATTAAATCATTGCTTGGCCTATTAGCTCTAGCTTCTTACTGGCTAGCTCTTACATCTTAATTCAACCCATTTTTATTAATCTGTGTATCGCCATGTGACTGTGAGTTACTGGCAAAATTCCAGCTGGTCTGTCCCTAGTGGAGGCTACATGGCATTCCACTGACTCCGCCTTCTTTCTCCCAGCATTCACTTTAGTTTTTCCCACCTAACTCTGTTCTGCCCTTCTGAAGACCTAAAGCAGTTTCTTTATTCGTTAACCAATAAAAGCAACACATAGACAGAAGGACTTCCCACATCATCTTCTTTGTTTATATCTGTATTGGGTCACAGTGATATACAAGTTACTGTTACAGAAGGGAGTAGATTCTTGAAGCCATGGATAGTACCCTGCTATGTGCTGGTGAGGACTGTATTCTGCTTTCTATGGATCTGGACCAGCAACACGATGAAAGTGGCTGTCATTCCTCAAGTGAAATCAAAGCTTCCTCATCCTGAGCTGTGAAGTGCCCAAAGCCTTTTCCTCTTAAGTAGTACAAAACATCTCAGATGGTGAAGTGGATATTGTCAAGTAAGATATCTTCATGTTCAAGAGGAGTTCACCCAAAAGGAGCTTACAGCTAACAGGGCCCTCTAGGTACCTCTGGATGAGTGTCCACGCATGGGCATGAATGTAGGGCTGATGGGAAGGATGTGAAGAGGACAGAAGGGACCAAGTGAAAATCTAGGATTCAGATCTCTGGCTGTGTCTGTGATGGTGTTTATAGGAAGGGTAGACTGAGGAGGGGAGACCCACCCTGAATTCAGGCACCACCATCTCCTGGGATGGACTCAGTTAAGAAAAGAAAAGTAAAACTGGACATTCCTGACTGGGTTCCATGCAACCAGACACTTCATGACTCTGCAGCCATCCCTTCCCTGCTGAGATGGAGAGCCCTGTCTTGGACATGAACCAGAGTAAGTCCCTCCTTTTTTGTTACTTCTTGCTGGGCATTTGTAACAATTAAGAAGAGTAACTAATGGAACACTGAGGGTTTGTGATTGGTCTGATGTCTCTCGTGAGAAAGGCACGCATACAGGGGACCCAGCTGATAGCTCTCTGACAGAGGTCTCAAGATGAAAGGAGAGAGAGCCTGATCCCGCTTTCTTAGTAATAGTGTTGATGCTAATAGATGTGACTCAACAATAGGCTAGGTGGAGGGAGTGGGGTCCTGAATCCACTGAGGGGTTTACTAGCCTTCCTTCCACATGGCCTACCTAAGTCCTGCTTATCCCACTCCTGCCTTCAGCCATAGGCTTCCACATGGACGGCATGTTGAACGCTAACTCATTCCCTCAATACCATACCAAAGCACCAAGCAACATTTCCACGTGAAGAGTGTCCTAGTGATGACTGTACACCAGTGGGTGGTCACATGGGTGGGGGAGGTGAGGTGGTGTCCTTTTAGTATGGCTCTACTTACTAGGCAGAATGCTACTTAATGACCCAGAGAATAGATTAGGGACAAAAGAATTCCTGCCAGGCTTTGGGTAACAGGTGTTCTACATGCTGCCCCTACCCTGCTAATTGGACCTTTTAGAACAGTATTACATTTCCTGATATTTGGATTTGTTGCTGGTTCTTCAAGAAGAGTTACTGAATTTGGTCCTGGAATCTTATTTCAAAAAGAAGAAACATGGTAAAATGGCTTGCTTGCTTATTTATTTATCTATTGCAGTGTTTTCTCTCAGAGGTAGTTTGTTGACTGCCTCAGATGGTTTCAGGTGCAGGTACAACCACCTAGGCCACCAGGGACTCCGTCACCCAGTCTTTCAATTTCCGTTTTATGTCTGTGTCTCTTTGCCCCGAGGAGTGTTGCAAAACCCATTAAATTTGAAGAAATAAGAACACAGATGAGACCCTAAGATTGCCCAGCTTCAGTGGCTTGGGGACCCAGGGAAGAGCACTGCTGGGAAGTGGGGGGCACTTCGAGGGTGTGATGAGTGCATGGGGGACAGAGGTGATGGGTCGTGAAAAAGGGGGTGAGAACCACAAAGGCTTTGCAGTAAAGTCCTGCTCGGGAGACAGCTCTAACCAATCCAGAGGGCCATGATTTAGGGTAGAGCAGGGCCTGCAGCTCATTTACTCCTCTCAACTTAATGTCACGCACACACTGCTGACTGGCAGTCTCCGTGCAGGCGTCTAGAGGAGGCAACGCAATGTGGGGGAAGCTATCTTAAGAAGTCTGATGAGAGAGGCAACATTCCAGGAATCGGAACTGACAGTCTGAAGGGAAGGCTGGCAAGGAGCTGAAGGAGGGACCATGGAGAAAGCAGTGAAGCAGAGGTAGACAGCTTGGGCCCCCTCTGCCCTTCATGGTATGGGAAGCTGTAGGAAGGGAATATAATGGAGCCAGTGATGGCCTGACCCTCCCTACCACACAAGGGTGCCTCAAGAAAATTGTGTGGGTTTGATGAAAGCATTAAAGCCCCACAACATAGAAGTTGTCCTGATGACCCTGGAACAGAGTTCATTGATGGTATAAATAGATAAGCATAAAAGGGGAAATAGAGACAAGATGACCAGTAAAAATGAGCAAGAGGGAGCAAAAACCCAAGAGCGACGGTGCTAGCAAAGAGCCAAAGTTCCAAATGCAGTGGTGCCGACAGAGATGTTGGACTTGTGCAACATGACAGCGTCAGAATAGCAAGCTCCATTGAACCTGTTGCAGCGCACAAGATGGAGTTCCTGCCACTGTGTTATGGGTGGTGGACAGAGAAGATGGGTCATTAGGGAAACCACAGGGTGGATGAGGGAAAGTCACATGACAGCCTTTTTACCAAGTGACATGGTCTCGCTGCCAAGGGTCTCTTGAAAGCACATATACTGAAGACCTATTCTTCAGCTGATGATGTTAGTAGGGGTGGTGAAAACTTGAGTGGGTGTGGCTTAGCAGAAGGAAGTTAGGCCTTTGGAGGCCTGCTCTTGATGGCAATATTGAGAACACATCCTTCTCCAACCTCACTGCTTCCTGCCTGCAAAGAGGTGAGCATCACAGTTCCATCTCTTGACGCCATAGGTCCAAGAACAACAGATCAACTGACCACTAACATGAACCTCTGAAATTATGAACCAGAGTAAATAATTTTTCGTTTCAAATTTATTAACGGGCATCTGTCTCAGCAAGGGAAAGCTGGCTGATACAGTATGGCTTGAGGGAGAGGCGGAGGTTGCTGAACAGTGAGTCAGATGGGGCACTCTGAAGGGTGAAGGTAGAGGGTAAGAGTAAGTCTTCTGTGCTTGAAGACTTACCTTATTTGATATTTAGCATAGGTGAGAGCTTTACTAAAAATAGCAATTCAGGAAGGGATGCTCCTTTGCCTTTTTCCCAAGAGCGACAACATGCACCTACTTTTTCGGGATTCAATGGTTTGGTCCCAACTGGACGGTGTGGCAAACGGAAGCGAGAACAGAGAGATAATCCCACGTGTAGCCTCAGGGAAGTGTCTGCCGTGCAGCGTCCTGAGAGGTGAAGGGAAAGGTTGGGGAAGGAGGGGACAACACCGATTGGCCTTTCGGGAAGGGAGCTGGTAAAAATGGGACGATTGTGCTTGATTTAAGGGGTGAAGTTGAGCGGCAAAGGACAATGGGGACCAAAAGGGCTCTGCTGAGTAGTTCTTTTGTTCGTGGGCGAGATGTCACTGCTGAAGGGTTCAAGGGGAGTGGGAGGGCAGGGAAGGAGTGGGAGGGATGATGGATTGCCGATGAGCCTATGAAGAATGAGGCAAAGCAGCATGAAACCATTTGTTTGGGCTTTATAGATTTTCTAATAAAAACGTCAAGGTTTTCCACACCATTTTGAAAATGTCATCAAATGCAAAGCAGTTCTCCTTGTGCTGGTGACAAAGGCTGCCTTTCCAACGGTAAATTCCAGCTCGAGATGTAATAACAAACCTTGTCGGGTTTTCTCCAGCTCAAACCAGGGGTCAGGTTTGGTCCAAGACCCTTCAAGTTGACCTTTGACCTGTCACAGTAACTGAAACCTCCCAATAGAACTGAGGACTTTCTTTGCTATAGAGCATGGGGAGAGCAGTTAAGGTTTAAGGGTGAGCTGGACGGAGACACTGCTCAAGGCAGGAATTATGCTTCGGGACCATACTCGGGGGTGGGGGAACTATTTCTGAGTCACAGGGATGCGGGCTTCCCGAAGAGGCCACCATACAGTTCTGCCTTGGATTCTCGCAGCCAATTGTACATACTTCCTCCAAGTTACTTCGCCAGTGATTTTAGAGAGGACACGCTCACGTCAGCCCAGCTCAAATCCTCCAGGAGTTTTCTCTTTGCTTTGGTTTTCCTTGTTCCCTTTGTCTTCAACCCAAGAAATCCCAAATGCCACCATTTCATCAGAATCCACCTTGGGATGAGGGAGATGCTTCGTCCCGTCTCCTCACCCTGAGCTCAACGTCGGTCATTTCACCAGCTGCAGAATGTCTTAAAGCCAAGGTGAAGCTTCATTAGATATACGTGATTTTCACTTGGCTTTCCTGAGACTTAAACACAAAGACTCACAAACCAAAACCAAACATGCACTATGATTCTCTAATAACTGCATCAAGTATCAGCTTCTCAGAGCTCACTTGATGTTTGTTAAATTTTAATTTAAAAAACTCCTCTGTTGCAGAATAATGTCCTGTTACAGGAAGAGAGCACTCACCTTTGCATTTTAAATTACACACCAGTTCAGTTGACTGGCTGTCTACACCCTCATTTCCTCACGCCCCCCCCCCTCTCTATATATATTTCTCTCTTTCTTTCTTTTTTCTGGACAGGATCTCATGTAGCCCTGACTCATCTCCAACTCACAGTAAAGCCAAGGATAACCTTGAACTTCTGATCCTTCTGTTTGACCTCCAAGTGCTGGGTCTTCGGGTGTGTATCACCACACTCGAATGTTGCTTACTTTTGGCAAACTTGTTGCATGGAACCCATGCTTGCTCAAGTTCAGCCAGTATCTTCCCCAGTCCTGAGCTCTTTCCACTTCCAGCTTCTCACTGAAATGCCTCTGCTGTGCCTCTGCCTGCAGGAATTCTGTCATCCCATCTAGGTTTGCCTCAGTAGCCATGTCTTCCATATCGTCATTCCTAATTGCCTTAGTCTGTCAACCATGATTCTTTTCCTTCCTTTGGAACCTTTGATTTCCCAATGGAAATCAAACCAATGTGCCTTTAGCCACTCCACTCTAAAGTGTATGTATTGTAGATCCTGCCTTCTGGTCTAATACAAAGTACTATTGTCTCTACAGAATAGAGACCCATGCCTTATACATTTTTGAGCCCCCTGAAGTAGTGCATGGATCTAGAGAGGAAAGGCAGTGAGGGTCACTCATGCCTTTCAGGAAGGTAGCACCAAGGCAAGGTTGGGCTGCCATCTGCTCCTCTGGAGCCACCCTCAAGGTAATTTTTTTTTAGGCAAGAATTTTGTTTTTTGCAGAAACAAAACTTGGAGAAGTTTGGTTGAGTAGCTTCCAGCCACAATTTTGTGCCATATAGGAAATCATTCCAAGGAGATTGGCAATGGCTCAATTTATTAGTCGTATACATTGGATAAGTTAGCCCTGCATCTACTAGTAGATTATGATGAAACATCAAGACTGTTTTAGGTCCATCTGTCCATTCTTTCATTTATTAAACAGATTTCAAATACCTGCCATATACCAGGAGAATCCAGAAGTATGCAAAACAGCCCCTGCCCTTGTCCACATGACAAATGTGTACATCCTCCGTCGGCTGTCTGTGTCCACGGGATCTTCATCTGTCTAGTCAACCACCCTCAGGAAATAGAACAGAAAAAACGGTGTGCGCACAGATCTCATACAGATGCTGTCATTCCCTAGATGGGCCTCTGCGCTCCCTAGATGGTCCTCTGTGACCACTACTTACACAGTGCTTGCCTTGAGTGATGTTCTGCAGCATCTAGAAAAGTCTCGAGGATGTGTGAGGATGTGCATTGGCTATAGGACAGTAGCAAGCCATTTTATATAAGGGATCTGATAGCCCTTGAACGTTGGGAATCCCGGAACCAACCTGCAGATCTGGAGGGACAACTGTATATACGAAATATTAGTTAGGTCAAAAGAAAAAGACAGACGAGAGGGCCAAAAGCCACAGACTGTTGTGTGAAACAGACCAGTCAATCAAAATAAGCCACCTCTAGTGGGCTAGCATTTGGGTGGGGTGAAGATGAAGCAAGGGTGTCACTGGGACCACTCCGTGGTACCTGAAGAGAGAAGAGTTGAGGCAGACAAAGACGCCAGGTGTGTGACCTTTGCAGGGCAAGATAATAGGTGCTCGAGTCTAGGTTTCCACGGTTTAAAATCAGGCTAACGAGGCCTATCTGTGAAGTGCTGGCGTAGATTAGCTGCAGCAATGCCTACCAGGTGCTCAGCGTATGGCAGGAAGGACCTGGGTGCTTATCACATTTAGGCCTTTTTCCTCATGCAGCCTAGGTAGGCAGCCCGGGAATGCCTTCTGTATTTCTGTAGAACCTTCAGTCTTTCTGGGTTTCTTTTCAAATCGGTGTATAGGGCAAACAGTCTTTGTTCCCTCCTCAAAAAACACCCAACACCATCATCACCACCGTCACCATCTCCACCACCACCACCACCACCACCACCACCACCACCACCACCACCACCACCATCACCACCACCAGACGAAGCAGGAGACCAGGTGAGCACGCAATGGTGGGATCATTGTATCAGCACCCCTTGGCTTTAGCTTTTTCTCTAAAGGAGGCCAGAGCACGGATGGGGCCAGTGATCACCACAGAGACGGCAGAGGGCCCCGGCTTTGAAGACTGGGGCTTGGGTCCTCAGGGCCAGATTGGCGAGCACACTAGGAAGCTTGGAAGAGAGCCAGCCTGAAGCTGGGGCTGGCTGAAAGCGACCAACAAGAAGCAACACAACAGGGACACAAACAGGAAGCTGATGAAGCAGTGTGGCCTTGCAAGATCGGAAGAGCCAGGTCTGTGGGGGTGGTCGGGAACCAGGCATGTAGAAATGACACTTCCTAGGATGAACGTTCTCTACTTGGGACTTGAAATTAACGCTGCTATTGAATTATGGAACAAAGCTTATTTCCCTGTCATTTTTTTTCCCCGAAAGGGACAATGGGAACCTGCCTGTGTACAACACCCATTCCCCCATCCCAACTTCTGTTGTGAGAAGGGGTTTTCTACCTCTGTTTCTCTTTCCCTCTCAGGCGTCCACCCGGGAACAGTGGCCTCTCGCTTGATCTCCAGACGTGACATTACCCAGCTGATTCCACAGGCGGCTCTCACTGCCTTTTTATTTAGAGAACTGCCCAATAGAAGTGTCTAGCAGGTGATTGACTCCTGATGACAACAGGACCTTCGCTCAAAATAATACAGGGAGATTGCAGATTGATTCATGGGCTGGAGCACTGAGCCGCCCAGACTCTGTCCTGTCTCCCGAGTGTCGGTGTCAGGAACAGATAGAACAGCCTAGAGCCGTTGAGCAGAGTTATGTTGGCAATCACCTTTCTACTTCTTGCATATATGCCAATATGTCAAGAGGACCCGGGCAAAGGGACAACAGGGTGGCTTTATTTAGTATTATGACAAGCAAATGCTTGAACACCGAGGAGCTCATGAACTTTACAGCGGCAGGGGAAAGCGGGGGTCGGGGTGGGGGGGGAGCCCCTTCCCGGTGACGCCTGCCTCCAATTCCAGGCTAAAAGGAGCCTGCTAACAAAAAGGTTATTCAGTGGTTCTCTGAATAAATCCAAAGGTAACAAGTGTGGACGGAGCGGATGATGTCAGGGGGACCAAGCGCTACTTTGGAGAACTGCCGAGGTATTTAAAAATAGCGCTTTCTTATTAACCCGAGCACAATGCTGGAAGTCCTTTAAAATAGAAGCCCAGATGCCACCTGCGTCTGACGTGGCGGTGCGGATGGATGCCAGTACGTCCACCGATCCTGGAGATGCTTAAGGAGCAGCCTCGACTGATTGTTCTGGCACAAACACATCGCAAACTAATTTATGTATCCCTGCAGCTGCAGCCCAGACGAGGCGGGCGGAGGAGTCGGACCGATTCACAGTTGACTAGTGCTGCCTCGCTCGCTGCTGCAGATTTTGGCATTTAACTATAATTAAGATTTATTGTTCACTACTTTGCAGGTCAGGGCGAGCATGACAATACGGGTAACTTTTCTGTTTACCAGTGAGCTGTCTGGTCGGGAGGAGCGGCAGCCCTTCCAGGCAGCCTCTGACATGAATAAGGACTGCCTCTCCACTCCAGGACCCTCGCATTACCGATTTTAATCAGACGTGTGGAGTCACTCGAAGGGAGGGCAGGGACAGATCGGAAGCCAGCCAGTGAACTGCGCGGTCGCCTTTGCACCAGAAGGGTACGGGCCAGAAGCCAAATCAATTATTGCTGATCTTTCTGGGTTTGGGGAGAGGACTGCTGGCTTGACGTGGGAGGGAGACAGCCCTTGATGCTGACAAAGGTTATGCAGAAACCAGGACCTGTGGGTTTCTGCCACCCCTCCCTGCCACCCAGACAAGGGTAATTCTTCATGCCACCCCGCTCTCGAGGATGCCCTTGGATGATACCTGATGGCCCGAGGAGGACGGAGGTGAGGGCTGGCAATCCACAGCCACTCACCTGCTGTCGTCGTTCGCGGACTGAGGTCCTGTGTGCGGATGACCGAGGACACTCAGTGGGCGGAGCACACAGGCGGAGGACCCAGGCAGAGGAAGGGGGCATCACAACCCCCACCCCCACCCTGGTTTACTGAAGGCAGAAGTGCGAAACCGTGATAAACTTCTGTTTCTCGCATCTATAATTTATGGGCATTGTTGTCTGGCCTCCTCAGTACATTTTCCCGCGACTATATAAATCAGAGAAGCATCCCTCACGTGGGCCAGAGATGTGGACTCAGAGCGTTTTCCTGTTACCTTCCAGAAAAGGAAGGAAAAAAAGTCCTTGTTCTTTTATTTTATTTTTTGGGGGGGTATACTGCTGAATAATAGTGATTTTACTTGATAATACAAAAATCTCTTTGTATCTCACCTCATGCTATAGCAGATTTTAAATGGGGATTTGAAAAAGCCACACAGCACGTTAGGTGGACAATTAAGGGTCCAACAACTCAGAAAGCTGCAGAGTCCCTGCCCGCTGCCTGTGGGTAGCCCAGTCACCTAGCAGTTGGGGGGGGGCCGTGGAGGTTGTTTCTGCTCTGTGTGATTCGGGACACTGGGGTTGCTCAATCTCTAACATGCTGTTTCCCTCTTTACCAGAAAAAGATTTGGGGGTTTTAAGAAGTGAAGAGAAGTTTTGTTTTGACATTTTAAAGAGACTGTGAAACCAACATTTTTCCCGGAGTTGAAATGGGTGTGAAACCCAGGTTACTAGTGGACAGATAGGAGCTCTCAACAAGAATTTTTTTTTCCAAAGTTCTCAACCAGTTTTCAAAATGGAAGGTTTCTAATCTTGTGGGATCCGGTTCAATTATGTTGTTGCTGAATCATGGAAGAGGAAAATATAATTGTGGGAGGTAATGTTTCTATTTAGGTGATGGCAGGATTTTTAACCATATTTTAAAGTGTGAGTTCTGAGTTCCACCAGAGCCAGTCTTTTGTGTAATGTTCAGATCTCAACAGTTCAAATGAGCTTTGCCCCATCCTGAGGTGCAAGCCGGTGTCACGGAGGGCAAACTTGACCCATATACAAGCCTCATTTAGCAAGCTCTGGGACTTTGAACTTGGTAACACTGCACAAGGTCACTTCCAGTGAGCACAGTCACCAGACAGCGCTCTCACATTGCTGATACAAGCAAAACACATTTCTAAACACATACCTCTGTCACCACGGATGCGGATGCATAGAAAGGACACGCAGGACACTGAAGCCATTTAGTGAGCGGGACGTTGTGGATCTGCTGCCCTTAGGTGCTCAGTCAGGGAGGAGGAGAACCGCCCATGCTCAGAACAGGTGGGCAGCCGGAGGAAAATCACTGTGCTCTCAGCTGGGGAGGGCTTTGTGGAGGAAGCAGGATTTCAGGGGCTGCTGGAATGATTGCAGGAGACAGCTTGACAGGATGGGATGGGGCAGGCATCCAAGCGCAGGGACTCCTGCCCGGGAATGGAGGAGATCTTGAAGGAGGGAATATGTGCTTAGTTGAAAGGGCAGTGGGAACAGTTCCAAGGATGAAGGGAGATGAACAGGTGACTTAGATGCTGGGGACAGAGGAGGTCCTCTTCCACTCACACACAGTTACTTTTGGTCCTGAACATTTGAACTTGCTATTGCCAGAGTAGTATGGGAGGCTGGGGTGTGGCATGGTGGTAGTGCTTGCTTAGCGTGAATGAAGTGCTGGGTTTGATCTGCAGAACGGCATAAAGAAAAGTAATACAGAGCTAGGGTGTAACTCGGTGTGAGTGTCCCTATTAGCATGGGTTCCACCTCCCGCATAACGCAGAAGAAAAGAAGGAAGGAAGGGCTCTTATTTTGGTTAAAAAAAAAATATGAGACAATTCAGCAGATACCTAGAATAGCCAGAATAGGGATCAAATTGGGAAATGATTCCACAGTTGGAGAAGTAAAACAACAGCTACAACAAAACAAACAACAATAACAAAAAAAGCAAAGCATCAGAAAGAATTGGGAAGTTACTTTTAAGAGGTACGAATCAAAGGTTTCTGTCTTGGAGGAAGAAACACGGGTTTCGGAGATCTCCAGTTCTTATTACCGATATTTCCGGGCTAGCCTTCAAAAGAGCTGCAAGAATATTTAGTTCTGTTAAGTTTGCTGAGAGACTCGCTATGTCCCCCGGCCCTCCTGTGTTCCTAAACTTTCTGTTACTATCGTGAAATACCTGAGTCAACTGATGGAGAAAAAAGGTCTCTTTTGTTTTGCAGTTCTAAAAATCCAGTCCCAGGACATATGGTCCCATATGTTTGGATCTCTGGCAAGGGGAACTCACTATACACATTATACACATTGTTGCAGGAGAGCAATGGCTTTATATCATTGTCTTAGTTAGGGTTTCTATTGCTGTGAAGAGACACCGTGACCACGGCAACCCTTATAACTGAAGGCGTTGAATTGGGGCTGGCTTACAGTTTCAGAGGATTAGCCCATTGCCATCAGGGCAGTAAGCAGGTGGCACACAGGCAGACACGGGACTTACCTGAGAGCTCTGCATTCAGATCTGCAGGCAGCAGGAAGATGAGAGCCACTGACACCCTGAAACCTACCCCCAGTGACACGCTTCCTCTAACAAGGCCACACCTACTTCAACAAGGCCATACCTCCTAATCCTTCTAAGTAGTGTTTCTCCCTGATGACTAAGCGTTCAAATATGTGAGCCTATGGGGGCCATTCTTATTCAATCCCCACAACCATGACCCCCCCACACACACATGCCCAGTGACTAGCTAGGGTTTTACAATCCATTGTGGGGACTTTGCACCTTGACCTAAGAACCTTCCACCCAGTCTATCCAGGCCATAACAGCATCACTGGAGTAGAAGTCATCCATATTTGTGATGTCATAGGCCAAGAACTGGTACCTTGCTTTGTTCTTTCTGCCGGGTTGTGACGGAGAACATTTCTCTGTATCTCTGTTCTTTATCTGAGCAAGAATGTGTATGTCATCTATTCTGCACCTATTCTGAGAGTTGCCTGTTCAAACTCTGCCCATTTTTTGGGGCTCGGTTATTTTGTGTAAGTTCTCTGTATATTAAGGATCTGTGTCTCACTGATGCAAAGCAGCCATACTTGTCTGTACCCTTGTCGATATTCAGTTGGATTGATTTTTTTTTAAATTTTCTAAGTTAACAATCTAAAAAATGTTATTTTGGTATTGTTGCTCAATTACACTTGCTTATTAAGGAAGCTGAAGGTTTTTCTCATGGATGTAGTAGCAACCTTCTTTTGAAAGTGTCCTGCTGCCTGCTTTTAGAGTGTACCAGCATTGTTCTTTGCTATTTACTCATTCATTCATTCCTTTGTTTGTTCATCCATTTTGCTGCTTCATAGAGTCAATCCTAGTCTCCAGTACTTGTTATAATATGTTGTCATGTAAATCTTGGCCTTTCTATCTCAAGTTTTGAGTCTACTTTTCTGCCCGCTCCTCCGTGAGTGGTCTTCTGCGTCTTGTATCCTTCACTCTAGGTCTCTGATCCCTGTGCTGTGACATCATCTATGTGAAGAGTAGCTTGGTTGGCTTCTCTAGTATCTCTCACAATTCGCCTGGGGCCCAACACAGTTTAGGAGGCACTGCACACTTAGGAGGCAGAAATTCGGTCTAAAGCCCCTAATATTTGCCATGCAGTTTTCTTTAGACACCCTGTCTCCGTGTCACCATGATTACCGGAGACCCAGCATGTAAGAAGATACACAGAAGTTCCCCTTTTCGGTTTTTACCTTGTCCAAGCATCACTTTCATCTGATGCTTTTACTCTTCAGCCTCACAGCCATGCAGGTAGCCAGTGTGTGCAGGCACATGTGCCTTGTAGCACGGGGAGCTGATGTTGCATCAGGACTGTTAGGAGCCAGGTGAGTCTCACTCAG